CCATGAGTGTGCCTCTGGCACCTCTGTTCATCAGTGGTTCTATTCTGCATTTCCTTCCGTATTTCTCGCTCAAATATATAGTAATTTCACTGTGTATATTTAGGACCTGGCCCTCCTGTATCTTCCATGTTTGTAATTGCTTATACCTAGCTATCTCGTCTTCTTTCTAGAGAGTACATTTTGAGAGCTTTGATACGATCCTAATAATTTAGATGCTTTATCGTGTCTATGTGTGCCGTATATGTTCCTCTATTTAAGAAATCTTATTCTTCTGTTTAAGAGATCTCTCCGGCTCTGAAGGTGAAACTGAGTACCGAGCAATACTCAAGACGGGGCAGCACCAGTGATTTAAATAGTATTATCATTGCTGCCGGATCTCTGGATTTGAACGTTCTCATAATCCATCCCATCATCTTCCTGGCCGCCGCTATATTTGCTCGGTTATGTTCACTAAATGTCAGGTCGTCACAGATCATAACTCCCAGATCCTTTACATGTTGCTTTCCTTGTACTAGTAAGTCTGACTGTGTCCTATACCCTGTGTTCCGTTGAACCTCTTCATTTCTATCATACTTTGGAATTTACCTCTGTTAAATATCTTGTTATTTTTTATTGCTCATTCAAATGCTTTACTGATATCGGCGTGTAGTTGTCAATGTCCTCTCCAGAAGTAATGTTCATGCTGATTTTTGTATCACCTGCAAAGAATGACACGAAGCTGTGACTTAAATGTTTGTCTAACTGATATGTGTATGAGAAAGATCCCTGGTGCACTGGAGCAATAGGGATATCATTTCATTAGCCGACAGCTTTCTCTCCAAAAGAAAGAGAGTTCCTTGGTTCCTAAGCCTCTACAACACAAACTGTCCTCTCCTCACCAAACAAGTAACTGGCAAAAGATTAAACAACCCCTGGCTCATAAGTGACATACTTAAAGCAATTAACATCAAACATGAATAGGAAACCAAACCTGATTGGTCTAGTTACCATAGAACTAGTTAAAAAGTACTCGTCAATGGTTATCAGTATAATAGAAAGAGCCAAACTTTCCTTTTATGAGAAAAGATGGTTACACACTTTCTACGGACTTAGAAACGGCAACAGAATTTAATAGCTCCTTTATATTGGTTGGTGCTAACCATGCCAGAAAAATCCCACAGACTCAGACACATGTTACCGCATAGCTATCAGGCAGTTACCCAAACTCTCTTCTCCTCTCACCAGCCAGCCTACACCTACAGGTGTTGTGCCCATCATTCACTCACTAAAAAACAAAGCTGGGAAAATTAGGGAAATACCATCCATGGTATACAAGAGTGTCTCCCATGCCCTTGCGGCGCCCATAGCTCTGCTGCTCAATTAATCTTTAGAGTGTCATACATTTCCTGATATTCCTTAAAAAACAAGAGTAACGCCAGTTCATAAAGGAGGTAACACGGCAGACATAAACTATTACAGACCAATATCAAATCTACCAATACTTTTGAAAAATATTAGAAACAATTATTTACAAACAACTCTACTCCTACCTTGTAAAATTCAAAATATTAAGTCCCTGTTAGTTTGGCTTCCGTTCCAAAAGAGTACCAATGATGCTACTCAGCCCTTGACAAAAATGAGTTCCCAATTGGCCTCTTCATTTACTTGAGAAATGTCTTTGATACTATTAACTATAACTACATCTAACTTAAACGTCACCACTATGGACTCCTAGGCTTTGTTCTGAACTATATTCAATCCAATCTCAGTGACAGTGTTATGATCCCAGGTAGCCGAAAAACGAGTCTCCCCTTTGAGAATTATTCTATCAAGCCTGACCTGACTAGAAGGTCTAGGAAAAATAGAGGTGAAGACACAGATGTAAAATAGGTGGTTGGATTTGATAAACAATTTGAGATTATGGGCAGTAAATAAGAAAATAGATAAATGACTGGTTAGGAGATGTGGATAATTTGCTGGAGGCGTGAGGCTCGCTTCTGGAGGGCTTTGACCCTCACTTGATTACCAGACATCGCAAGGGGAAGCTGTGCTCCGTTTGAGCAACCATTAGAAAGGAACCCCTAGTGATATATCTCCAAGAGAAGAGAAGTGTGCAGACGTTCCAGCTGTGGAATCGAGCTGGGAACGTTGTGGTCTCAAGTCCTGGACGGCGAGGAGAGTTTATTAAGCCGCCCAGAGACATTTTCGTGGGCTGTGGGAGCGCCCTGATCAGACGCCGTTAGAGGGATAGCGCACTCGACTAGACAATCTGTGGTAAGCACGATTTAAGCCAGTTTATAGTGATTACTTGTAGTTGGTCGTGTGCCCAGCGACAGTAGCGAATGTTTATTGATAAGTTAGACATGTTTTGGTAAGGCAGGAAGCCTAAATGAGAGGACGGAGATGAGAGAGACAGCTGGAGGGACGAGCAGCACGTCCTCTCCCGTCGACCGCCTGAAGCCAACTGACTGGCGGCGGAGGACCCTCCCAGAGTTGAGGAGCCGCCCGCCGGGCAAGGCGGAGCATGGACCAGCCCAAACGGGGGAGTCCACTCTCACTGCATGTAGAGAGCAGATAGATGTTGGATGCAAACATATTGTGTGGATTATTTCGTTTATGTGTTTAAGGGGAAACGTTTTTATTGGAGTGTCAATGGGTTGCAGGTTTGTCTTTGGGGAAGAAGTTGCTGAGAACTTCGAAGCCAGCACAGAGGGAGTAGTTGATGAGACTCCAAGGTAGTGGAGGAGAGGACCTCGAGCTGTGAGGAGAAGCAGTGAAGAGGAGTGTCACGTGCTTCTGTAGAGGTGGTGAAGCACCATAGTTGCTCGAGGAAACTTCATGGTGTAGCAGCCAGGAGAGCTGTGGAGGACCCTAGCAGAAGTGGTGAAGCACCGTAGTTGCTCAAGGAAACTTCATGGTGTAGCAGCCTGGAGGAGCTGCAGAGGATCCTGGTAGTTAAACCCGGAAGAACCTGAAGAGATCAGGGTAGTGAACTTCCAGATGTGGAAGGGAAGTTCTAAATGATTACTTGTAGGGAGGTGATAGAGTGTTTGGTTGTCATTAGCGTGCAAGACGCAGTGAAAGGTGAGTGATTGTTTGCCATTCTTGTGCCGAGGAGTGTTTATACTGAAGTATAGAGTTACAGTCGTAGGCTGGATTACCTACAGATGTATGTGTTCTAGGACTGATAGGGTGATCGATTGATCATTGTTGTGTATCAAGGAACATTTATACTGATATATATATATGTTATTGCATTCATACGCTGATTTTACTTGTACATGTTTATAGATATATATTCTCTTGCTGATAGTGCAACATTGTATTATAAGACTTGATCTACTTGAGGAGGTTGGTAGTATTAGGTGGTGAATCAGGAGATAGGATACCACTTGATAAGCAGATGATAGAGTTCTGATGGTGTTGGAGTGCAACCTGACTGAAATAGTATAGAGTGTAGGATTCATTATTATTATTATATGTGTGTATGTATTGTGTATGTGCTTTGTCCAGTAAATGTATTCAAATTTGCTGGTGTTTGCCCTTGTCCTAGTGAGGCTTCCCAGGATGTAGTAAAGAAGGAGAGAGAGAGAGAAAGAACCAAGAACCACTGCTGTGGACAGGGTAGGACGGAAAACTAATAAGTCAAAGGGGATTGAGGAGATCATATCACATAAGGAGAGAGTGGGGAGTCACAGCGGCTCGAGTGGGTGTGTGCACGTGACAACGAGGCTAAGTATTGGAGCCGCATCCCCTAAACGTGTGACGTTGAGCCCCTCTCCAAGAGCCAGAAGCGCCCAGTGTGATCTCCTGGTAAAGTATAAGCACTCTACCGAGTTGTGGGTTGGGTTGTCCGTAAAGAAGGATCAACAACGCGACAACACCACCAACCCACACTACAATAGCAATAAAAATGATGGAAAGTTCCTTGGGCTCTACACAGACAAGAGACTCAACTTCAGCACCCACATGCAACACAACCAAAAATGTCTCAAAAACGGTTGGTATACTTTCTAAAATCAGATATTATGTTCCCCCACTCTGCTCTCCTCTCATTATACTACGCTAAGCTATCGCTATCTTACATATGGTATCTGTGCATGGGGTTCAACCACTGCAAACTACCTCAAGCCCATCATCACCCAGTAAGAATCTGTTATCAGGACTATAACAAACTTCAAACTTTGTCTTAAGACAACACACAGTCCCTCTGTTTAAGGCCCTAAATATGCTAAACAAACACTAACTCCAAATATTCTTATGTGCCATCTACATGTACAAAACTTTGTTCGTAAACGATAATCTCGATCTGAAACTTTTCCTTGATGGTTGTAATAGAACCCATGAGCACCACACCAGGAATAAATATATCTTTGATATCCCCAGAGTCAGACTATGTCTGTGTAAACACTCCCAGCAAATAAAAGGACCCAGTCTTTGGAACTCACTCCCTAATGAATTAACAAAAATTCCAACCTATGCCTTAGTCAAAAGTAAAACCCAAAAACCCTAATTTCATCCCCATAGTTTCCTACCTTGTGCTTCAAACTCTGTTATCTGTTAGATTAAGGACCTGCCCTGTGTGTTAGTGGCCTTCAAGGCTGAAAGGACACCAATGTTATGTACTCTCACAAACCCAATATACCTTCATGTATTTATACAAATCACATTAATAAACTACAATAAATGATAAAGCCTGGGGGGGGGGGGACTGACATAAACCAGAGGGCAGTACAGATGTGCCGCAGATGCATTACTACAACACAATTCACCAACCATTCACACCAATGGGAATACTGAATAAAAATCAATCTCCATAACAAAGAATATCATCACTAACCAGTTACCATAGAAAACGGGTCAATATTTGTTTTGACAAATTACCACAGGACCTGGCCCCGAGTGTACCCAGAGCAATGACCGATACACTCTCCCATTCAATATAATAAGAACGTGGCACTTGGCATCATGGCGTCTGCGGTCACATATATACCCGCAGCCTCTCAGTCTCTCTCCTCAGTGCTGGCCCAGACGCCGTCAGGGAAGGGAGTTGCCTACAGCCTCTGCCCACCTCGGTCGTCAATCCTTTGATCAATTAATCTTCACTGCGCATACCCGTTGCACGTGAACCGTCGACTGCTACTGTTGCTGCGTTCCTCACAACGGGAGTAAGGTTTGTCTCTTTGATCTTGTAGTGTCTGTTGTTGACGCTTGTAAAGTCGATTCTTGATACCAGTCTTAAAGGCAATCTGCTACCTGTTGACTATGACTCTCTCTCTCCCTCTCTCCCTTTCCCCAGCTCCTCTCTCTCTCCCTCTCTCTCTCTCTCTCACTCTCTCTCTCTCTCTCTCTCTCTCTCTCTCTCTCTCTCTCTCTCTCTCTCTCTCTCTCTCTCTCTCTCTCTCTCTCTCTCTCTCTCTCTCTCTCTCTCTCTCTCTCTCTCTCTCTCTCTCTCTTTCTCTTTCTCTCTTTCCCTCTCTGTCTGTCTGTCTGTCTGTCTGTCTGTCTGTCTGTCTGTCTGTCTGTCTGTCTCTCTGTCTCTCCCTCTCTCTCTCTCCTTCCCTCTTACTCCCCCCCCCCCCCCCCCGACACATATTGACCTAAGGTGAAGGACAGACCTGCTGGGAGTCAATAAATACTCTCTGGTAAACATGATACAAGACTGTGAGGTCACCAGGTGAAGGTATTATCCAGTAGTGTTACATGCAGTGTTTAAGGCAGAGTGGTAGTTAAGGCCTCCTGCTGGTTACTGCCACTTAGTGCGCTCGTTAGGGCAACGGACCCGCTTCTGGCCGGGTGGTCGCTCGAGCTGCCACGGTCCACAATGGTGGACATCACTCCATCCTTATTGTCCAGCTCTTTGTCTCTCCCTTGTTCAAGCTCTTAGTCTGTCCCTTGTTCAAGCTCTTAGTCTGTCCCTTGTTCAAGCTCTTAGTCTGACCCTTGTTCAAGCTCTTAGTCTGTCCCTTGTTCAAGCTCTTAGTCTGACCCTTGTTCAAGCTCTTAGACTGTCCCTTGTTCAAGCTCTTAGTCTGTCCCTTGTTCAAGCTCTTAGTCTGTCCCTTGTTCAAGCTCTTAGACTGTCCCTTGTTCAAGCTCTACGTCTGTCCCTTGTTTTAGCTCTTAGTCTGTCCCTTGTTTTAGCTCTTTGTCTCTCCCTTGTTCAAGCTCTTAGACTGTCCCTTGTTCAAGCTCTTAGTCTGTCCCTTGTTTTAGCTCTTAGTCTGTCCCTTGTTTTAGCTCTTAGTCTCTCCCTTGTTCAAGCTCTTAGTCTCTCCCTTGTTCAAGCTCTTAGTCTGTCCCTTGTTCAAGCTCTTAGACTGTCCTCGTATTACAGCTCTTAGTGTGTCCTTAGTGTATGAAGACAGAGTGTCCTCATATTCCAGCTCCTGGTCTGTAACCTGGTCCCAGCTCCAGGCAGGCTGTGTGGCAGGCAGGATGGCAGACACGCTGTGAGGCAGGCAGGATGGCAGACAGGTTGTGAGGCGGGCAGGATGGCAGACAGGTTGTGAGGCGGGCAGGATGGCAGACAGGTTGTGAGGCGGGCAGGATGGCAGACAGGCTGTGAGGCAGGAAGGCAGCATGGCAGACAGACTGTAAAGCAGGCAGGCAGAATGGCAGACAGGCTGTGAGTCAGGCACGTTGGCAGACAGGTTGTGAGGCAGGCAGGATGGCAGACAGGTTGTGAGACAGGCAGGCACACTGACAGACAGACTGTGAGGCAGGCAGGCAGGATGGCAGACAGGCTGTGAGACAGGCAGGCAGGATGGCAGACAGACTGTGAGGCAGGCAGGCAGGATGGCAGACAGGCTGTAAGGCAGGCAGGATGGCAGAAGGGCGGTGAGGTAAGCAGGATGGCAGACAGACTGTGAGGCAGGCAGGAGCGTAGACAAGCTGTGGGGCAGGCAGGCAGGTTGGCAGACAGGCTGTGAGGCAGGCAGGATGGCAGACAGGTTGTGAGGCAGGCAGTCAGGATGACAAACAGCCTGTGAGGAAGGCAGTCAGGATGGCAGACAGCCTGTAAGGCAGGCAGGCAGGATGGAAGACAGACTGTGAGGCAGGCAGGCAGGCAGGATGGCAGACAGGCTGTGAGGCAGGCAGGCAGGATGGTAGACATGTTGAGAGGCAGGCAGGCAGGATGGCAGGCTGTGAGGCAGGTAGTCACGATGACAGACAGCCAGTGAGGCAGGCAGGAAGACAGACAGGTTGTGAGGCAGGCAGGCAAGATTGCAGACAGCCCATGAGGTAGGCAGGATGGCAGACATGTTGTGTGGCAGGCAAGCAGGCAGGATGACAGACAGCCTGTGAGGCAGGCAGGCAGGATGGCAGACAGGCTGTGAGACAGGCAGGCAGGATGGCAGACAGGTTGTGAGACAGGCAGGATGGCAGGCAAGTTGTGAGGCAGGCAGGCAGGATGACAGACAGGTTGTTAGGCAGGCAGGCAGGATGACAAACAGGCTGTGAGGCAGGATGGCAGACAGGCTGTGAGGCAGGATGGCAGACCGGCTGTGCGGCAGGCAGGATGACAAACAGGTCGTGAGTCAGGCAGACAGGCAGGATGACAGACAGGCTGTGAGGCAAGCAGGATGGCAGACAGGTTGGGAGGCAGGCAGGCAGGATGGTAGACAGGTTGTGAGGCAAGCAGGCAGGACGGCAGACAGGCTGAGAGGCCGGGAGGCAGGATGGCAGGCAGGCTATGGGGCAGGCAGGCAGGATGGCAGAAAGGCTGTAAGGCAGGCAGGATGGCAGGCAGGTTGTGAGGCAGGCAGGCATGATGGCAGACAGGAGGAGAGGCAGGCAAGCAGGATGGGAGACAGGTTGTGAGGCAGGCAGGGAGGATGGCAGACAGACTGTGAGGCAGGCAGGGAGGATGGCAGACAGACTGTGAGGCAGGCAGGCAAGATTGCAGACAGGCTGAGAGGAAGGCAGGCAGGATGACAAACAGGCTGTGAGGCAGGCAGTCAGGATGGCAGACAGGCTGTGAGGCAAGTAGGATATCAGACAGGTTTTGAATCATGCAGGCATGATGGCAGACATGCTGTGAGACAGGCAGGCAAGATAGCAGACAGGCTGTGAGGCAGGCAGGCAGGATGTGAGACACACTGTGAGGCAGGCAGGATGGCAGACATGCTGTGAGGCAGGCAGGCAGGATGGCAGACAGGCTGTGAGATAGGAAGGATGGCAGGCAGGTTGTGAGGGAGGCAGGATGGCAGACAGGCTGTGAGGCACGCAGGATGACAAAAAGGCTGTGAGGCAGGCAGGCAGGATGGCAGACAGACTGTAAGGCAGGCAGGCAGTATGGCAGAAAGGCTGTGAGGCAGGCAGGATGACAGACAGGTTATGAGACAGGCAGGCAGGATGGCAGACAGACTGTAAGGCAGGCAGGCAGGATGGCAGACAGGCGGTGAGGTAAGCAGGTTGGCAGACAGGTGGTGAGGTAAGCAGGATGGCAGACAGGTTGTAAGGCAGGCAAGCAGGAAGGCAGACAGGCTGTGAGGCAGGCAGAAGGGCAGACAAGCTGTGGGGCAGGTAGGCAGGATGACAGGCTGTGAGGCAGGCAGGCAGGTTGGCAGACAGGCTGTGAGGCAGGAAGGATGGTAGACAGATTTTGACGCAGGCAGTCAGGATGACAGACAGCCTGTGAGGAAGGCAGTCAGGATGGCAGAGAGCCTGTGAGGCAGGCAGGCAGGATGGCAGACAGACTGTGAGGCAGGAAGCAGGATGGCAGACAGGCTGTGAGGCAGGGATGATGGTAGACAGGTTGTGAGGCAGGCAGGCAGGATGGCAGACAGACTGTGAGGCTGGCAGGCAGGATGGCAGAAAGGCTGTGAGGCAGGAAGGATGGCAGACAGACTGTGAGGTAGGCAGGCAAGATGGCAGACAGCCCATGATGTAGGCAGGATGGCAGACAGGTTGTGAGGCAGGCAGGCAGGATGGCAGATAGGCTGTGAGGCAGGTAGGCAGGATGGCAGACAGGCTGTGAGACAGGCAGGCAGGCAGGATGGACGAGAGGCTGTGAGGCAAGCAGGTAGGATGACATACAGGCTGTGAGGCAGGTAGGCTGGATGGCAGACAAGCTGTGAGGCAGGCAGGATGGCAGACATGTTGTGAGGCAGGCAGGGAGGATGGGAGACAGGCGGTGAGGCAGGCAGGCAGGATGACAGACAGGTTGTGAGGCAGGCAGGCAGGATGACAGACAGGCTGTGAGGCAGGTAGGCAGACAGGCTGTGAGGCAGGATGGCAGACAGGCTGTGAGGCAGGCATGATGGTAGACAAGTTGTGAGGCAGGCAGGCAGGATGGCAGACAGGCTGAGAGGCCGGCCGGCAGAATGGCAGGCAGGCTATGGGGCAGGCAGGCAGGATGGCAGACAGGCTGTAAGGCAGGCAGGTTGTGAGGCAGGCAGGCAGGCAGGATGGCAGACAGAAGGAATGGCAGGCAAGCAGGATGGGAGACAGGTTGTGAGGCAGGCAGGGAGGATGGCAGACTGGCTGTGTGGCAGGCAGGCAGGATTGCAGACAGAATGAGAGGAAGGTAGGCAGGATGACAAACAGGCTGTGAGGCAGGCAGTCAGGATGGCAGACATGCTTTGAGGCAGGCATTCAGGATGGCAGACATGCTTTGAGGCAGGCAGGTTGTCAGACAGGCTGTGAGGCAGGCAGGATGGCAGACAGGCGGTGAGGTAAGCAGGACGGCAGACAGGCTGGGAGGCAGGCAAGAGGGCAGACAGGCTGTGAGGCAGGCAGGATGGTAGAAAGGCTCTGTGGCAGGCAAGCAGGATGACAGACAGGCTGTGAGGCAGGCAGGATAGCAGACAGGTTGTGAGGCAGGCAGGCAGGGGGCAGACAGGCTGTGAGGTAGGAAGGATTGCAGACAGGTTGTGAGGCAAGCAGGCAGGATAGCAGACAGGCTGTGAGACAGGCAGGCAAGATGGCAGACAGGCTGTGAGGCAGGCAGGCAGGCAGAATGTCAGACAGACTACGAGGCAGACAGGCAGGATGGCGGACAGGCTATGAGGCAGGATTAGTTGCAGAAAGGTTATGAGGCAGGCAGGATGGTAGACAGGCTGTGAGGTAGGCACGCAGGATGGCAGACGAGCTGGGAGGCAAGCAGGATGGCAGAAAGTTTGTGAGGCAAGCAGGTATGATGGCAGACAGGCTGTGAGGTAGACAGACAAGATGGCAGACAGGCTATGAGGCAGGCAGGCAGGATGTCAGTCAGACTGTGAGGCAGGCAGGCAGGATGACAGACAGGCTGTGAGGCAGGATGGATGGCAGACAGGTTGTGAGGCAGGCAGGATGTCAGACAGGCTGTGAGGCAGCATGAATGGCAGACAGATTGTGAAGCAGGCAGGATGGCAGACAGGTTGTGAGGCAGGCAGAAGGCAGACAGGCTGTGAGGTAGACAGGATGACAGACAGGCTGTGAGACAGGCAGGCAGGAAGGCAGAAAGACTGTGAGGCAGGCAGGCAGGATGGCAGACAGGCTGTGAGGCAGGCAGGATGGCAGACAGGCGGTGAGGTAAGCAGGATGGCAGACAGGTTGTAAGGCAGGCAGGCAGGAAGGCAGACAAGCTGTGGGGCAGGTAGGCAGGATGGCAGACAGACTGTGAGGCAGGAAGCAGGATGGCAGACAGGCTGTGAGGCAGGCAGGATGACACACAGGCTGTGAGGCAGGTAGGCAGACAGGCTGTGAGTCAGGATGGCAGACAGGCTGTGAGGCAGGCAGGCAGGATGGTAGACAGGCTGTGAGGCAGGCACGCAGGATGGCAGACAGGCTGTGAGGCAGAATGGATGGCAGACAGGTTGTGAGGCAGGCAGGATGGCAGACAGGCTGTGAGGCAGCATGAATGGCAGGCAGATTGTGAAGCAGGCAGGAGGCAGACAGGCTGAGGCAGACAGGCTGTGAGACAGGCAGGCAGGAAGGCAGAAAGACTGTGAGGCAGGCAGGCAGGATGGCAGACAGGCTGTGAGGCAGGCAGGATGGCAGACAGGCGGTGAGGTAAACAGGATGGCAGACAGGTTGTAAGACAGGCAGGCAGGAAGGCAGACAAGCTGTGGGGCAGGTAGGCAGGATGGCAGACAGACTGTGAGGCAGGAAGCAGGATGGCAGACAGGTTGTGTCAGGGAGGTTGAGAGACAGGCTGTGAGGCAGGCAGGCAGGATGACAGACAGGCTGTGAGGCAGGCAGGCAGGATGGCAGACAGGCTGTAAAGTAGGCAGGATGGCAGGCAGGTTGTGAGCCAGGCAGGCAGGATGGCAGACAGGAGGAGAGGCAGGCAAGCAGGATGGGAGATAGGTTGTGAGTCAGGCAGGGAGGATGGCAGATAGGCTGTGAGGCAGGCAGG